CGTTGCCTGGCTGGTGGCCACACCCCTCTAAGCTCTGCTCTAAGTCTCCATCACCCTCTCTCTGGTGTGTGTGATTTTTCTCTACGCCTCTCTCTTACAGAGATACACATGGTTCCATTTAGGGCCTGAGCACTCAGGTAATCCAGAATTATCTCACCATCTCAAGATCTTTAATTTGATCACATCTATAAGAACCCATTTTCCAAATTAAGGTCACATTTATAGAGGCCAGGAATTAGGTTCTGGCGTCTTTGGGTGGTCACTATTTAGCCTTCTGTGGGAACTATTAAGGAATTTCTTTATAGGGTGATGGTTGTAATTAGATGGTGGTGATGGTTGTACAATCTTATGACTGAAATGAAAACTGCTAAATGTACACTTTAAAGGGGTGCATTATATGACATGTGGGTTATATTATAATAAAAAAGAATAGTGGCCTTTGCTGACAAATTGCCATGTGCTTTGCACACTCCTTCACTTCAACCTCACCATACTCATGAAATAGTGACTCAGATGCCCATTTTCCAGATGAGAGAACTGAGGCACAGAGATGCTGAGAATCATGCTCAAGGTTGGGCATTTGGCAAAGGACAGAGTCAAGAGCACATTCAAGTCCTGATTCCGGGGCCTGAGCATTAGCCTGTACTTGGCCCTCAACAGTGGCCTCTGCATTCAGTTTCACCTGTCACTGTGGAACACGAGGTAGCAAACTTTTTCTATAAAGAGCCAGATCATTGATAGTTTAGGCTATGCAGGCCACTAAGTCTCTGTCACAACCACTCAAGTCCATTGGAGAGTGGAAGCAGCCATGGATGCTATACGAACAAACGAACATGAGTGTGTTCCAATAAAACTTTATTTGGACTCCAGCCTGGATGACAGCATGAAACCCCACCTCTAAAAAAATTAAAAATAAAAATAAAAGATCAAAGAGCCACATAAAAAAAAGAGAGACCTCCGGTGTGGGGCAGATTTAGTCTTTAGCTCAAAGTTTGCTGACTTCCAGCATAGAAGAAATTCCACCCCCCAAAATGTGGTGAGTCATTTGGGGAGAAACTGACACAGAAAAGGAGTCTCTACCTCCTTCAGGTTCCTTCTGCTTTCTGATCCCAGCATCTGAACTCCGACACTGTTGCTGTGTTTTTCAGACTTTTTTTTTATGTCATGGCACACTTAAACCTATAGTTAAATTTTGTGGCACACTTAAATTATGTTGATCCCTCCAAAAAAAAAGAGTTAAAAAAAAGAATATACTTACAATGCTTTGAACTTCTTTTGAAAATAATTTATGATCTTTAAAATTTTTCACACATCTAAGATCCTCTCACGGCTCACTAGTTAACAATCACTGGGGTTTTTTTTATTTTTTAGAGACAGGGTCTCACTTTGTCACCCTCGGTAGAGTGCTGTGACGTCACAGCTCACAGCAGCCTCCAGCTCCTGGGCTTAGGCAATTCTCTTCCCTCAGCCTCCCAAGTAGCTGGGACTATAGGTGCCCACCACAACGCCCGGCTATTTTTTGGTTGTTGTTGCAGTTTGGCAGGAGCTGGGGTCGAACCCACCACCCTCAGTATATGGGGCCAGTGCCTTACTCATTGAGCTCTAGGTGCCGCTCCACAATCACTGGTTTAAAGCCTGGGGGGCATGTGGAAGAGCCAGACTGAGTAAATCTGACTTCGGGTGGGGACCTGGTATTAGACTAAAACATCCCGGGGTCTCCAGTGAGTAGCTGAAGTTGCAACCCACTGCCCACCTGTGCCGGGGCCAGCACCGCCCTCGGATTCCACATCTTGATTGCATCTTCCCCGTTTCTCTCTCCCGCCTTTGGCCCTTCTTCTTGTTCCTTCCCCCACTTTAACGCTTCTCTCCTCTTCCTAGTTTAGTTCACAGCTATTCTCGTTAGCGACACCATCCAGCATGGCTTCTTAGCTTAAGACATTGTAGAAACCACATGTTGTAACTATGGCAGAAAACGGCCACCCTGTCTGGCTTTCCGCGGCCTGCGCTTGCCAGCTGAGCTGCTGGTGCAGTTTCTGAACATCTAAGCCGTTTTGCTTTTGTTTTCCACCAGTGACTTGTGTTAACAACAATGTTAATAACCATTATTAGGCTCTTACTGTGTACCTTGCCACTGTATTCAGCACTTTACCTGTGTGAATCCATAGGATCCTGACCTATGAAGGAGATGTAATATTCTGGGTGAGGAAACTGAGGCACAGAGAGATTTTTTTTTTTTTTTTAACATCTTGCCCACAACCATGAAATGGAAGAACCGGAACTCAAACACAGGCAGCCTGGCCCCAGAGCCCACCGTCTGAGCACAGGGGACCCAGAGTTAGTCGCTCAGAATCTTGTAGACTGTTTTTCACTGCAATAAGAAATTGAAATTTGAACCCAGTGTCTGCTCCTGTGACATTTGGAATTGATAACTCTTTTTTATTTTCAACTTAAATGGCAATGCCTTCGCTAGGAGGCCCACAGATTTAAATTCCATCAAGATTTGAACTCATCGTCATTCAGAGGAGATCAACCTTTAATGATTGCGTGTGTGGTGGCTGTCAGGACAATAAAATGAAGCAGTAAAGCCAGCACCCTCGATAATTCTGCAACTGGCGGGAGGCAACTCAGGAACTCTTGGTGGCTTTACTAAGGTTCTTCATTAGCTTATCTGGAATGTGACCTTCTGCAGCTTCCCATGTTAGACATGCCAGGGTATTTTCTGCCTTTTAAAAAGCATCTGATTCTCATTCTAGTGTTTAATTAGAGAGAAACCCTTGGCTCCTTTCCATTCCTCATGGGAGAGCTCCATTTTTGTGCTCAAATTTTCCATGTTTTGTGATAATCAGGGTTGATGTTTTAGGAGGCAAGACCTTGTGCATTGCACTAAACCCTTCCACATGAGCTTGGTGAACTCTCAGGTGGCCACGTCCCCTGGGGACCTTTGACTGCACTGAAGATTTCAGCATAATGAGTCATGGAAATGAGTCCAGAACATCATGCCCGGGGCATAGTGAGCATCCACATCAAGGATTCTTCCCCTCCCTCTCCCCTATTTTCCAAGCTGCCAACTATGTAAGGCATTCTACATATGTATTATTTTATTTAATTCTCCAAACAATCCTATTCTGCTGGAATGATGTTCATTGTTTTAGATGAAGAAATAGGCTTACATGGCAAAGGGGGCAAGGTTTGAAAGTAGGTCTGCGGAGCGGCAGAGCCCCCGTGCATGTGTGTGTTATTTACATTCTGACCACTCCCCAGCTGGGTGAGGTTAGAGTTATAGGAAAAAAAGCTTCAAGGCACAGAAGGAGTCTGAGGCACGTGTGTTCCGCTTCTCAGTGGCTAGCAGACCTGGGCCAGTCCACTTGCCCTCTCAGACCATTTGAATCTGGTTCCATCTGTGATGGTCTTGTACTGTGGCTGCCAGGTAAGGGGAATTGGCCAACAGGTGTCAGCGCACAGTGAGGCCACAGGCTACTAAGGGTAATGCTTACCTTCAACTTCCGATCTTAGGCTACACCCACTTCATTCATGTCCAAAGACCCAGCATCTTCTGCCTTCTTCCATCCCCTCTTAGCCTGCCCACTGCCAACTCCAGCACCGTCATCTTAATTTCTTCTGTAATTCCTAATTTAGCAATCAAACTATGCTGATAATGTGTGTCAAAGGGCTAGATCCTTGGTTTTCCAACTCGTATCTACAGCAGAATCACCTGGAGGCTTGGTGACCACAGGTCACTGGACCCCACCCCCAGAGTTCGGATTCAGCAGGTGGGGCCTGCACTGCTGGTGCAGGGACCACACCATGGGAATCACTGGGCCAAGGAGCGTGGGTCTGTTCTATATGCACTGATGCTGTCTGACCAGTTGGGGACCCTGTTAATGGGAAATTCAGCCTCCCTGGGGAAAACGCCATTGGAAGACAGGGAGACATTTGGGGTAGGCGAGCTCAGGCCTCTGTCCCTGCTCATCCTTGTCTGACAGATGTGTTGGCGTGCAAGGGCTCCAGGCAGCCACTCCCCCGGCAAAGCCCCTGCCAGCTGCTTCCCTGAGCATGCCTTCCTCTGCGGGTGAAATGACCTTTCCTTCTAATTACTTTTGATTCTCGTATCCACACTTCTCAAGTTAGAATGTGTGCTAGAATCATCTGGATGTCTTCATCAAGTGGAGATTCTGAGTTGTTAGTATTTTTAGTAATTTTGAAGTGGGGCCTGAGATTCTGCGTGCCTCTTGAGCTCCCAGGTGATGTGAATATAGCTAGTCCAGAGACCCACACCTTGGTCAGCAGTTCTGAATCCCACTGAGCTCCCGGGTAACGTGAATACGGTTTGTCCACAGACCCACACGTTGGTCAGCAGTTCTGAATCCCACTGTGTACACCAATGGCTTCTGCCCCTGCAGCACAATGGAATCACCTGGGGGCTTGTAAAGACCAACATTCAAGCACATCCCTTGGATATCCTAATTTAATTCTGGGCATTGGAATTTCCCCATCCTGAGTGATTCCAGGGTTGGAAACCAGCCTTTACAAAGAAAAGAGCAACCCCTTCTAGGGGTTCAAGGGCATGTGTCGTGCCATGGACCAGGCCAGGCTGCTTGCTTACATGGGGGGAGAGCACACCTTTTCCCCTGGAAAGCTTCAGAGGTCCCCTGGGATTCTTATTAAAATTCAGACTCTGCCTCCGCAGGTTTGGGGTGGGCCAGGTTTCTGCATTTCTGACAGTTGCCTGAGTGTCATCAACGCTGCCTGTCCAGGCTGGTGCTGAGTCTCAGGCTTGTCCACCGTGACAAGTTCACAAGCCTCTGCAGGGTCCAGTGTCCCCGTCAGTGATGGGCCAGGGAGCTTCCTCATGTTAAGTGTCAAAAGCTTTTGGTTCTAATTTTCTCTCCCCTTATACATCATCTTAAGGTTTCTTTTATTCAGGTTGGAATTGACACAGGACGCTAGGCCATACGGGTCGGTTCTCCTTTTGTGATATTTTCTTCTTTCTCTCTTCACAGTACGAGATGCAAAAAATTTAATCCCTATGGATCCAAACGGGCTTTCAGATCCTTATGTGAAGCTGAAACTTATTCCCGATCCCAAGAACGAAAGCAAACAGAAAACCAAAACCATCCGCTCTACACTAAACCCCCAGTGGAATGAGTCCTTTACCTTGTAAGTGGCCTCTTGATCAAATTCTGTTCTGCATACCATAGAATTGTTTGTTAAAAATGTCTTTAATGTCTTCATTCTTAAGATTTTCTCAGACTGTCTTAGGGAGCTGGCTGTTATCACCTCTGTTTGATAGATTGTAATTCTTTTTACCAAGAGTTACATTAATGTAGGCTCCAAATTATTATCCTTACCTATTCTATACAAAAAAAATTCTGTTTAGGGTATTAAAGACAAGAGAAAAATGTATGAGATGTGTCTGCCTCTTGATGGATTTAGGTTCTTTTGAGAGTTAGGGGAGGGCATAAGGCAATAATTTCAATATTTTTGAGAACACAGAATGAGTAATATAGAAGATGTTATTGCCAGTGAAATAGGAAGATCATTCTCACCTTCAAGCAAGGAGGGCTTCCTGGAGGAGGTGACATTTCAAATGGTCCTTGAAGGGTTACTGGGATTTCAAGAGTAGAGATGGTGAGGGGAGGAAGGAAGGTAGGAATGAGAAGAGGGAGTAAATAAGTCAGGAGTGAGAAACTGCTGCCTTCAGCTGATTAAAAGCAAGAAGTCCTCTCTACACACTGGTACACAGGAAGTGGGGGTTTTTTTTTGAACAGCCAAAAAGACAGCTCTCCACTGTAGAAAGGCCAGCAATTTTGTCCTGTAAAGGGCCCAATAGTATACACTTTAGAGATTGTAAGTCATATGGTCTCTGTTGCACCTACACAACTCTGACATTCTGATGCCAAAGCAACATAGACAACATGTAAACAAGTGGTCATGGCTATATTCTAATAAAACTTTATTTATAAAAATAGGCAGAGGGCCAGGTTTGGCCGGTGGGTCATGTTTTGGTAACCCCTAGTGTAGAGCTTTGGTTGCCAGTGTAAGAGGTTGGTATTTTATTGGAACAGGAAGAGAAATGAATTTATTATCTCTCTGCCTCAGGCTCAGATCATGAGCTTGTGGTATCTCCCGAAAAACCATGATGAAGAAGATAACCTAGGATGTATGTGTGTGTGTGTTGTAGCAAATTAAAACCTTCAGACAAAGACCGGCGACTGTCTGTAGAAATCTGGGACTGGGACCGAACAACAAGAAATGACTTCATGGGATCCCTCTCCTTTGGTGTTTCAGAGCTAATGAAGATGCCGGCCAGTGGATGGTAAGGAAGCCACTGAGGCTGGGTATGTCGCGAAACATTGGACGATTTAGAGATTTAAGTTTAAGTCTCCTAAATGTCAGTTGAATGTCTGGTTATCTGGCTACAGTCTCTCCCTTGGTTACACTTCATGAAACAGCTTGACGAGGGGTTGCAGGAGAAGAGTTGCTGGCATTGCCGTGGCAAACAAGTGCCCTAACTCTCCCCCTCTCCTGTGTCTTTGCAAGGTACAAGCTGCTTAACCAGGAAGAAGGGGAGTACTACAATGTACCCATTCCCGAAGGAGACGAGGAAGGAAACATGGAGCTCAGGCAGAAATTCGAGGTGAGGATACCCACAAAATTACATCTCTTCTTTATAAAGCGTAACTCTAGGAAGGGCCAAATGATTGTGGTCACATCACTGAAAGGCAAAGAGTAATTTAAATGTTAATAATTTTTTTTTATTTCAAAGCATAAATGTTGTGTGATTGCTTTCTTTTGCAAGCTGTTCGTGTTCTATATCTGTTATCATTTAGAAAATGGAAATTGGAAATATCCCAGAAACGAAAGCGTAGTTGGTTTCTGTGTAAGAAGTCGGTTTGAACATTACTGGAGAGACCTGCGAGGTTCTGAGTTGCAGGATCCTTCCTACACAGAAGGGCTTGTGCTCTTCTGAAAAGAAGGAGTCATCTTGGCCTTTTCTCAGGAGTCCGTTCATGTGCGTTAGGCTATTGTGCTGGCCTCTGAGATTTTTTTTCCCCCCTATGGAAAGCACAACATTGCTAATTTTTTTCTGAGACCAACTTAAACAAATATTCCTCTGTGTTTTAGATTCCTTTTTAATTTTGCTGCAGATGTTTGGAGAAGGCCACCTCCTGCTCTTCTTCCTGGCTGGCATTTGTGTGCGCCTCTGTCCCTGGTCACTGGTCTGCTTTCTGCCTCCCTTTTCTTCTCCTTTCCCTGCTCCTCTTTTTTCCTTCCTTCTATCCCTTCTTTTCTCTTCTCACCAGACAGCTCAGCTTTTAATGAACATTCTTTTCTCTAAGCCCCTGCCAGAATTATGTTCCAAGTCACAACTTTTGATCTTTTTTCTATTTCTTTAACACCCTGCATTTTGGCTGTTTGGGGGATTCCTATACTCACCTCCTCACCCACGTGATAGGTTAATTCCTCTTGGAATCTTTCTCTTCTTCAGACTAATTAGAGGTCCCCCGAATTTCCTCCTCCTAAAAAATACACAGGTGCACACACATGTTGTGTGTGTAGACACTAAACTATTACCAAAGTGTTGACCCTGATGGGATACCAGTGATCTTGTTTTTCTTCTTCTGTTGTTCCCAAAGAAACATGAAGTCAGATCCAGGTAGAATGAATTCTAAAGGATGCAAAACACAAAATTTCAAATTATTTCATTGTACTGCTCTTTGGGTAGAGTCGATGTTGATGGCAAATATTTAACAGCTGGGTGTGCATGGTGGGTGCCCTTGGTACAAATGAGTGAAATGAGTCACAGGTTATATAAATAGACGGCAGTTGCCAACAGGCCTTAGGGTTAATGAGGCAATAGGGAGCAGTGGGGCCTGGGGTAAGCTGCTGAACCTGAGGCCTATCTGAAGGTGGCAGCCACCACTCCTCAGCACCGGTTAGTTATTGCCCTGCACAAATGTAGGCCCTTGCTGCCAGATCTTCATTCTTCAAGAGAAGCCAAAAATTGAGGATTTTATGTGACACATTCTGATTTCTCTTAATGTTAGCAGAATTCTAAGGTTAAAACTTATAATCCTGTGTAGGACAAACACACATATAGTTTTTTAGACACAGGTAGGATTCGACTAGTAAGGACTAGCCTGCAATCTCTGCTCTTAAAAAATGTAGGAGTAAGCCAGGTGTGATGTCTCATGCCTGCAGACCCAGCTTCTTAGGAGGCTGAGGTGGGAGGATCACGTGAACCCAGGAGTTTGAGGTCAGCCTGGGCAACATATATTTTTTCTTTAAAAGAAAAAGAAAATGGCTCCTTTTTTTAATTATTAATTTGAGTTCTCTGTAGATCCTAGTTATCAAGCTTTTGTCCAATTCATAATATACAAATATCTTTTCCCATTCTGAGGGCTGTCTATTTGCTTTGGTTGTTGTCTCCTTAGGTGTACAGCAGCTTTTCAGTTTAATTAAGTCCCATTTGTTTATTTTTGTGTTGTTGCATTTGCCACAGAAGTCTTATTTATAAAATCTATCCCCGAGCCAATATCTTCAAGTGTTTTCCCCACACTCTCTTCGAGGCACACCTCTTAAGGGCAGGACACAATTATAAGAGGGACTTTACCTAACAAATGCAATCAGTGTAACCTAATTCTTTGTACCCCCAGTGAATCTCAAGCAATAAAAATACATATATATACATATGATACATTATCATATAAAGGGTGGCCATAAAGTTCATGTGCAGTTTAAAATAGTGTGCCGTTTCTTTATGGCCACCCTGTATGTTACATTAACAATATATATAATTTGGCTTGGCCCTATAGCTCAACCGGCTAAGGCGCCAGCCACACGTACACCTAAGGTGGCGGGTTCGAATCCCCAGCCTGGACCCGCCAAACAATGATGGCTGCAACCAAAAAATAGCCGGACGTTGTGGCGGGTGCCTGTGGTCCCAGCTACTTGGGAGGCGGAGGCAGGAGACTCGCTTAAGCCCAGGAGTTGGAGGTTGCTGTGAGCTGTAATGCCACAGCACTCTGCCCAGGAGGACAGCTTGAGGCTCTGTCTCAAAAAAAAAAAAAAAAAATATATATATATATAATTTGTACATAATGTAATATGTATATACCCATGAGAAAAAAGGAAAAAAATCCATATTTATTTATTATAATGATATCTCTCTCTGTTTATCTATATGTATGTTGACATAGAGAAGAAAGATTCTTTCTAAAGTAGCCAATCACCTTTAGAGGAGTTCAAGGTCAAAGATGACAGTCAGGGTTTTGGTTGGGTTCGGGCATCTATGCCGGGCATGGCTCTTTTTCTGTTCGTGTCATTTGCCTTCACTTGCCTCACTATCTCCTTCCCCCCAGCCCACAGCTGAGGATACAGAACTAAACACCGCACAGGAAAGCTTTCTTCTTTTTTTTTTTTTTTAATACAGAGTCTCAAGCTGTCACCCTGGGTAGAGTGCTGTGGGGTCACAGCTCACAGCGATCTGAAACTCCTGGGTTCAAGCAGTTCTCTTGCCTCAGCATCCCAGGTAGCTGGGACTACAGGCACCTACTACAACGCCCAGCTATTTTTGTTGTTGTTGTTGTTGTAATTGCCATTGTTGCTCTAGCTAGCCTGGGCTGAGTTCGAACCCTCCAGCCTCTATGTATGTGGCAGGCACCCTACCCACTGAGCCATGGCACCACCCAGGAAGGCTTTTTCTTTTTCTTGCAATGTAACATCAGGTTCCAGTATTAAGTCCCTGTCACTCATCATGTGTGCAGGAAGGCTTTCTTGAGGCTCGTCCCTAGATGTCACCTGGCCTCTGTGGTGGGTGGATCCCTTTAGAGAGAGTTTCAGGGCACTGAGTGCCAGCATCACTGTTGTTTCAGGCAGGGGAGAGACCAGAGGAGCTAGAATGACTCTCGATTCCTGAATTCCGTGCTGTGGTGCAGGTCACTGGGAGTCATGGGTCAGCAGTCACAGGTGCGGGGCACCCCTACGGGAGGAGTGGTGTAGGACATTGTGACAGTGTCACTCAAGATAGTCTGAGGCTTCACTTTGCTTGATGGAGAACTATTGACCCACTTTTTTATGCTTCATTTCTCTGACTTCACGGTGAGCAAACTTCCTGCTCTGGGAGGTGAGTCCAGCCTTTTATAAAGGTCAGAATTCTAAACGTAAAAAAAAATTAGAAAGCCGGCCAGAGGTCTTGAGCAGAAGCAAAGCATTTCTCTTGGGAGTCTGGTTGGAGGCCTTGAATGCGTATGCATGTCCGTGTTGTGGGTCACCACTCACCCACCCAAGAGAGTGGTAGACTTTGCAGAAACCAGCCTACCCAGAGCAGAGACATGGCATCAGCACAGTTGCACGGGGGCAAGGCTCAGCCACCAAGGCCATGCTCAGATCACCTGCATGAGCTGTATTCCAGCATTTTTAAACATCTTTCAGCTTGTGGTCACTCACATTTTATTAGTTCATTTACTTAGAGCGTTTTAAAAAACCCAACTGCCAGAGACTGGGCAGAAAGCCACTAGAGGATGGCATCAGAAAGATGCTGAGATTTTTTTGACAACTGGTGTGCTGCATTAGTAATGGACTGTTCAGGGCTGATTTTAGGCAATTCAATCACATAATGGTTTTTCTGTTGAGGTCTGCAAATGTGAACGTGACAATACCTCCCAGTGACAGGTTGTTGGAAAGGAATGTACCAGGGCAAAAGGCTGGTGTCCAACACCTGAAGAGGTCTGGGTGGCACCCAGCCTTTACAGACAGGATGACTGTCATTTGGCACCAGCTGCACTGTGGGAGCTTTCCTTTGCTCTCCCTCCCATCCCTCCCTCTCAGTCTCAGCCACAGGAAGATTGCTCCCAGCAGCCATAGGTGCCCCGTTCTGGACCCTTTCTTTCCCTGAAATTGCCATTTTGACTTGCTTTCCATCGTGTGAGTCCTTTCCTCCCCACCTGCTCTTTCACAGGTACTTCCCACCCTCTGAAAACAGTTTGATTCCACTGAGCCAGATTTTCTTCTGAAGCTCGATGGTCAAACACTACAGGCGTCACTCAATGGCACTGCACAATGTCCAGTCCGTCGAGGTGTTCCGCCCACGTTCAGCCCTGTTTTCTAAAAAGAGTTAATAACAAATGCGGTTATCAGGTCCTTCCCCAGAAATCAAGTCACTCAGTCTGATGAAAGCAGATGAAAACAAATGCGCATCTACAGCCCTGCCTCTGCATTGGCATCCAGCTGATAATCAGATGGAAAGTTTTCCAAATTTAAATTGTTCTAGAATCTTGGCAAACAGAATGATCAGTGAGGGAAGCTCTTAAGAGCCGAGGAGAATTCCAGGGTGGCAGGATGTGACATTCTCCTCTACTATAGGTCTTTGTCATCAGTCCACTTTCCTAGAAGACAGAACAGAACAGAACCTTGATGGTGATATTCACAGAAAGTGCACCTATGGGCCTTTCATCTGTTCCAGGTTCATGTTCAAATAAAGCACACGTGTTCCCTGGTTCACAAATATAAATTATGCATTTTTTTTTTAATTTGGTCACTGAGTAAGGTGTCAGCAATGAATAAAGTGAGCTGTCCCTGCTTTCTGGGGAGCTTATCTTCTGTACCTGGGGGCTTCAGACCTCTCTGCGGGCGAGGCAGGGAGCATGCTCAGAAGCAAACACGTCATGGCCCCTGTGCTGGGGAGCATCTCCTTGTGTCTCCCCTCACTGTTGGGGAAGCCTGGGGTTCCCTTTCCCTGCTCCACTTCTGGCCTCTGCTCTCCGCTGAGATGCAGGACTGGAGCTGGGAAAAGGTCTTCGCCTTAGGTCCGGAGGGTGTTTTAACACTGGCTCTGCAAACCTCTGTAAATGTTCAGATAATAAATATTTGGGGTCATACAGGCTGTGCGGTGCTGGTCATGGTAAGTCAGCTCTGCCTTTCTAACACAAAGCAGCCACAGACCATGCCTAAACAAAGGTGCATGGTGTATTCCCATAAAACATTATTTACAAATACACACTGCAGACCAAAGTTGGCCCATGGACCACAGTGTGCCAACTTCCGGACTCTAGAATCAGTTCTGGTTTTGTCACTTACTGACCATGTGACCTCTCTGAACCTTAGCGTCCGTAACTGTAAATGGGAATGATAGCAGTACTTACTCTGTTTTAAATATTAAGTGTCCAGTAAAAAAAGTCCCAAAAGGATACTAACTATATAAATATTAGCCCTTAAAACTACCATCATCATCATCATCATCAAATATTTCATTGTGAAAACTGGGCTGTAGAGGGCGTTTTCTTTAACTCTGGAGTTTCTCTTAAATAGAATGAATTTTCATGTTGAAATTATGCCCCACTTAGTGGGCATGTCCTGTGTCCTGCAGTCTGGCCCTATTATGAAATAGAGGAGGTGTATTGGTGAGCACTTGTCATCATTTATAACATTGGTTTTATAGGAAATGTGTCCTGATTTAGGTGCAGATGGTTTCTGGAATACAGTGTTTCTGTGAGTGGGGAACTTGTGTGTCTGGGAATATATCAGGTGACCTCTGAGCAAAACCTTTGTAGCACTGGTTGTCAATGGACGTAATCCCACTTGCACTGATACTTCTCAACTCAATGGTCTGGTGTAGAGCCCCGATTTAAAATTCAAAAGTGAACACATTTGGATGTTTGATGTAAACCACACCAAGAATAAACATAAGTGTAATCAGAGTGACAGTACCTGCCATCACTGGAATTGTCATTAGAGGAACAAGTAGATTAATGACAGAGATGTCACAGTTGATTTGTTAGTGATTCCATTCACGTGAAAGTCTAGTACTTTTATTGGTGTAATGTTGCCATTTTGATCTTTTATGGAATCTGGGCTGAGTCATTCACATCTTGAGCTATGCCCAGAAAGTTACCTGCTATATTCAACTTTCTTTCCAGTTGAAAAGGAAAAAATATGTATACATATATATCCTCTAACCACATCTCTCCTTCTTTTAAAAACCATTGCAGAGGTTTTTATTGTCACGTGTGGTTCCATTTCCTGGTTCTCGGTACTCTTGAGCATTTTTATATTGTATTTATCTGTCAGTTGATTCTTTCCTTCAGCCCAGTTGGGCCACCTCTATCTCCAAGTTGAAGTTATCCTAGAATCAGGAAAATAGGAGGTTGTCAGGGCCCCACCCCAGGGGCGAGGTACACTAAGACCTATGGAACTGGCGCAGCCACCACCGACTGAAGTATAAAGTTAGGAACGAGGATAAAGAAAGAGACATGAGACTTAGAATTTTCAAAGGTAGGAGCTCAGGGGACCACAACCTATTACTGAGCTCCAGGGAGTGGCCATAGCCTTTGTTCTACACAGCTTTTATTAAAATCTCTTTGCCCAGGTGGTAAGCTGAGTGAGGGAACAAAGACACCAGCAGTTTCTCTGAGTGAGCATATTAGCTCCTATTGTTATTATTATTAACTTTAAGGATTTGAGTAGTTTTGGAGCATCTGAAACTTGAGCCTTCTGTGGGGGAGGCCTCCTGTCTGGAGTCACACACACACAGATTCCTAGGGAGGTGTTAAACTCCGCTAGTTTGCTGTGGAATAAAACACCACTGATGTTAATCTCCTCTGAGGAATCCAGGGAGAGAGGCGTTATCCTCTCATCACTACCACGGAGGATTTTCCTCTGCAATAAGGGATGGTAAGCTTTCTTGCCCATATCTCTGGGCTGGAGCTGTTCCCTTGGTCTCTGCCCAGTCAAATGCAAATTTCCACTATGGGTATCTGCTTTATCTGTTTAATGGGCAGGAAATGACCTAGAAGATGTATCTATTCTAAGTCTTGTCATAATCTCTTTTATGACCATTACCTTCCTCAGAGTGTTCACAGACCAGCAGGGTATTGGTGTAAGCTGTATTCCCAATAGGCCAGAGTTTCAGGAAAGGCCAGAAACTTGTTCAGAGACCAAATTTAGCAATGGCTGGCTTAAAGGTAAACTAGCTGACTTTTCTTTGTTCCAACTCCTTTAGCTTACTTTTTAATTTTTCCTTTCTCTGGGGGTGCCCTCCCCTGCCAAGAATGGGGTCTTTGTTCCCCATTCTGCCTACAGGAGGTGAGCTGGGGGAGGAGACAGGTGAGATGAGGTGAGTCTGGGTGGTTTCCAGGCCTTTCCCCAATCTGTCTTCCCTCCTCTGCCCACCGTAGTTTCCTGGAGTGCGCAGCCTTTCTCCTGATTGGCCCCCCTTCCCCAGCCTGATTCCCTCTTCCCAGTCCTGCCACCCAGAGAGAAGTCAAGTCAGAGGGCACTGGCTCCCTCCTGCTGAGAGCACTTCAGGACAGGTGGTAAAGACCACTTATCCCTTCTCCGCATTTCCTATGTATTTCAGAATTTAGCAAAATAAAACCCAAATTTTCTCATTTTGCTTTAGTGTCATGATTACTACTTCTAATTTGTGTTTCAATGGCTTTTAGCTGCAAATGGACTTTAAATGAGCTCATTTCTACCTGTGAGGATCTTATTGACTCCACATGTTGTTAACAGTTAATTGAGTTCTAATATAAAAAAGTCAAGTATCTTCCCTGAAATGAGGCTGTACTGTTCTATTTTGTCCAATTATCCAGGCTTTTCTTTGGTTTTCATCATTTACAAAATAGAGGTCAAGTGTGATGGCTCACATGCTTTAGGAGGCTAAGATGGGAGGATCATTTGAGGCCAAGAGTTCAAGACCAGCCTGGGCAATGTACCAAGATAATTTTTAAAACTTAGCCAGCTATGGTGGTACATGCCTGTAGTCCC